TCCCGTGGTCCCGATCCTGGGAGCCTATGTGACCCGGTACCCCGTGCCAGGTAGTAGGTTGACCAACCTTAGTTGTATTCCAAAGACTACCCGCCTAACCTCAGCAATGCTCGTCCGGTTGCCCCACCAGATTCATGCAATAATGCACAGACAGTATTGCAGAGCGATCCACGCTGTGATTCGGAGGCCACAAGTGCAAACATGACTCTGTAACCGAGGTCAACGATTGCATTATTGCAATAGCGTTGGTTCCCTCCGTGATACACGATTAAACGGTTGTTCAAAACGAACTGAAACATCTCAGCAGACGCAAATCAATTTCTATCGTAATAATGTGCTGTCCAATGAAAAGATGTGAACAGCTAGCAGAATCGCTCGTATCATTAAAAAAAACAGTGCACAATTCAATTTCTCAGCTTCACGGTCGAATGATGGCACAGTAAACTGTCTCGAAACGAAGCAAATCTGTACTATCGAGGGCACAGTTCAAACCACACACACACACACACAAGCATTCGACTGTTGATAAAGCTAGTCTTCGGGTGTTTACCTGTTCCGGACTCATGTACAAATCTGTACCCACATCATCCGTGTGTCGACGGGTGGTTCGGATCCCAAAATATTTACGGCGAATACTGCTAGAAGACAACTGTTCTCTGTCGGAACCGTTCCAAGAGTCCGCCGTCCCAGAATCCCGTTGATCGGTTGGGTTTGTACAGTCAGACGTGGACCGATGAGCACTGGACGCATGATCCCCAGACAGAACAGGACTATTACCTGTACTACTATAGTCATCATTCGCGAACGACGTGACCAGACCGAAATCGGCCAGTTTGAGCCGATTCGTCGAGTCAAACAGAATATTGGACGGTTTCAGATCACGATGCATCAGTTCATGTGCGTGTAGGTAAGCTACAGCGTCCACAATTTGCCAAAACATGCAGTACAGTTCCGACCGCGGGGGTCGTGCCGCGACATGATTGTTTCTGGTTAGCCAATCTCGAAGACTCATTTGTGAGCACAGTTGCATTTGGATGTACAAATACCAAGAGGATGAGGCGATCGGGTCGGATGTAGAAGTGGTTCTATTCAGCTGACGACGAGAAGGCTGACCGGGGCGAATGGCAGATGAGTCTGATGTGGCCTCCGGTTCGACGGGCCCCTGGGAACTGGCTTCCGTTCCTGAATCCCGTTGGAAAACAATCAGACTGTCATCCATGTGGCGATTTAATGAGAACCGAACACTTGGTTCCGAAAAATTACTGATGGGTCGGTTGGATCGGATGCGCGGAGGGGAGAGAGATATAAATCAAACATTAACCAATGATCAAGGTTGCCTTTCAATTCATTAAACAGACAAGAACTAAGGCTCCGGATGTTAAAATCAAACAATGCATTACAACACGAATCAGGAAACAAGCTTGTCTTCGGTCCTTCAGTTCAAGCTGAATACAGCTANNNAGGTAGTCTAAACATGGTGCCTCTGAACAATCGAATGGGCTAATCCAAGCCTGATACACTAAAAGTTGATTGAACCGTTCGCGCAAGGTGATGACCATCGACCGTGTAGCTCAGAGGCAAGGGTTTGCAATCNNNCAATCTCGACCTGAAGGTTCGTAGTTCGAGTCCCGACAGGGACGCAAACCGTGTATGCACACTGATGACGAGTCCAACGCAGGAAGAAACAGTTGTCCACTGCAGCTCTTTGTCGACTATCACAAACATTTCCATTGCATTAAAATGTGGTGAAATAAATCACAGAATTGGTCGAGGAGCAGGAGAACAATGTCAATGTTCAGACAATGCGTAAGCAAAAAATGGATGCGTCACAAGTGTAACTGATTAGAATAACAATGGCAGTGAATGAGCGGTACAAATAAACAGATCATTACACCGTAATTCGAGTTGGAACCCCGCCACCACCACCACCACCACCGCCGCCGCCGTTGTGAACCTGTATGCTGACTTCGACAAATGCCCTGGACAGATCTTGATGAAACGTGTCCCTCCCCAGTGGCACATCAAATAAACGAGTGTGTAAACAATTTGCACAGGGGGCGGCAAGAAAATGGTTTGAGAGGAAAATCATCTATGATCTGAAGTATAATCTTATCAGTTTTCGCGGTGGAAATGGACGCGGAAAACCAACTGTTTGTTGGCGGTCTAATCGGACGATTAAAAACCAAACAAGTGCGATGTTTTTTTCTTTTCTTGGGATAGACAAAAGTCAATTATTAATTAATTACTAATTATTATTAAGTACAATTATTAGGTTCGTTAAATCTAAACGGTTGTTTAGGCGAACGGCAAGTGGCGCGCGAGGGTTATTCAAATGGAAAAACTATAGCACTGCAAGAATGAGGAAACGCTGTCGAGGACAGCAAACTTCAAATCGTGGTGTCCTCGGACGGGTATATGTTTGAACCAGTGAAATTAGCACAAAATTCCGATGTGCAACCAACCAATTGTCAAGCCAACTTAGCTGGTGTATAGCCGTCACGGGTGTTCGTTCCATGTGGTTGTGTAAAAAGGGATCAAAACATATGAGAAACAGGAGTAGAGAGAGAGAGAGAGAGAGTGTGTGTGTGTGTGTGTGTGTGTGTGTGTGTGTGTGTGATTGTACCAATCTGGTCAACGAACAAAGAAACCGGGATCACTGACAGTGAACGGCAGGCAGGTGTCTGGGTTCCGAATACCCCGTGTACTTATATATTTATATTTCACACTTTTCTGAGGACAGACTGTGTGCCAAACAAATCATGGTACAACAATCTTTATAAAAAGGAAAATGTTCCGTGATTGGCTTGTGGGCTGAGTACTGCCAGGTTGCCCAGGCCAAGGCAGGTGAATTTTCTTGAGGAAGCCACAATCGGAGCCTTCGGCTAGCCAAAGCCTGACCCGCAAGGCAGCGGGGCGGTGTGCGAAAACCGTAATCCATTGGGAGCCGGTGTCCAGTTCATCGGATCATACGCCCTTCGGAC